ATGACTGTTCCCACTGCCCTGTAAGGTGTAGGGCTTAACTACAGCTTCCCACCATACATGGAGTCTTCTTACTGAGACTGATCGTCAGTCCTGCTCAGTCTGAAGGATGGACTTCTTTCTGCTCATTCTGGAGGGCTGATGTATTCCTGCTCAGTCTGAAGTTCAGACATCTTCCTATTCAGTCTGAAGATCTGACGTCTTCCTGCTCTTCTGGAGGTCTAACAATTTCCTGTTCAGACTGAAGGTTTGACGTCTTCCTGCTCAGTTTGATGATGTGAAGTCTTCTTGGTCATCCTGGAGGTCTGACATCTACCTGCTGAGTCTGAAGGTCTGACAACTTCCTGTTCAGTCTGAAGTTCTGACATCTTCCTGCTCACACTGTACATCTGGCATCTTCCTGCTCAGTCTGGAGGTCTGACATCTGCCTGCTCAGTCTGAAGGTCTGACAACTTCCTGTTCAGTCTGAAGTTCTGACATCTTCCTGCTCACACTGTACATCTGGCATCTTCCTGCTCAGTCTGGAGGTCTGACATCTGCCTGCTCAGTCTGATGGTCTGATGTCTTACTGCTCAGTCTGAAGTTTGACATCTTCCTGTTCATACTGTAGATCTGAAGTCTTCCTGCTCCTTCTGGAGGTGTGGCATCTTCCTGTTCAGTCTGAATGTCTGACGTCTTTCTGCTCATGCTGAAGGTCTGATGTTTCCCTGCTCATTCTGAAGGTCTGACGTCTTCCTGCTCAGTCTGAAGATCTGGCGTCTTCCTGCTTAAAACTTAAAGACAGAAGGATTGTGAAGTTCCACTTTCATGGTCTTTATTCATACCGAAGGTCCAGATCAAGCCAGCTCTTGTCCTTCTAGTGGTAAGTCCTCCAGAATGTTTTAACCATTTCTCTGCCACTGGTCATCACATCTACAGCGACGCTCAGGAGACTCGTTAGGATAGATCAGAACATCCGTCTAGAGGCCATGGAATTAGGTGCCTTCCCCCCCATCAGCAAGGTGGAGCTGACTATGACAGGGCATAGAGCTCACACATGGGCTCCAGAGAGGAGCATTTCTCCACACAGGCCACCAATCCAGACAGCACTGCACTGCCAGTCCCTCTGCAAGATCACATCTACATCTCACTGGATGCTCATCAGCGTGCTGCATTCAGGTGGACAGTCTACTTAAGGTGCTTCATCGTTCACAGGTCCATCTCCAGGACTCCCTGCAGGTGCCCAATGGGACTGTATCCGCTTAATGGTCACGATGCAGATTTTAATGCTCGGTCACGGGGTCTGACCTGCCTCTTATTAACACCTGCTATGACTGTCGTTTCAGTTCCTTATGAAGAAAAGCCAGACCTTCAAAAGACACACTTTTTTTCAATCAGTTGTAATCTTTATACCCTGTGGAGTTACAGGCTTCTCTCTTAAGCATCACACTGACATCAATCTTTCAGCCGGATTTCTGCATGTCGTATTGGGTCTGTAGTGTTTAATGGAACCTAATCCTGATCAGCTACAGAAAAATGACAGCTTCGAGGTAGAGGCCACGTCTGCTGAAGTGTAGAATGGGGGTCCAGAATGACCCCAGATTCACCCTTGTAAATTGCACCGTGATGAGGGGGGGGGGCACCACTGCCTGTAAATGCCAGGTGGTTGGTGTTCGCACCCCGTCTGCGGCGAGGATTAACACACGTGTGTAGGCCAATGAGGAGGGGAAGTGGCCATTAGCACAGCACAGTCAATCTGGGCTGTGTGTTAAGGGCAACCACACAGCCCAGGGGAAAGGGCTTTGCCTGTGTCTTCATCTTATAACCATTTATCCAGCACATGGTTGTGGGGATAACTTTGTTTTTAAGTATATTCAAAGATAAGTATATTAAGTATATACAAAGAATAAGCCTTTCATACTTTTACCCCATTGAGAGTGTCTATGGGCTTTCAACCCCCAGAAACTATGCGCTGGATACTCAGTTGTGGAAGATGGGTGGGAAGGTCTTTCATACTTAGAAATGATGAAATATTAAATTTCTAATACAACGGTCAATAATCTTGGTGTCATCTCCCAGGTACGGTAAAGGTCATCTGTTCAATATACGGTGACATTTTTTAACAGGTAGGTGATACTTTTGAACCTAGGGGCCACTGTCCTCTGTCACTATGGAATTCCGTGCAATAATTTCCCTGACATTCTTTCCCCTGTTACTGTTTATTGCTGTCCATTATTTATTGTTACTGTCTATTAATGGGGATCTATTAATTAATGGGGATCTATATATCATGTCTTTGTCTGTCTGTCTGATCTAATCTTTACCACTCTGCAACATGTGGGGAGGGGGGACAGAACACTGTAAATGACAGAAAATTTTGGGCATCACAACTTTATTATAGAAAAAAAAACAAAATTCATAGTTTAACCATTTACTGCCACATTCCCCTTGTAGCTTTCAATGAAGAACTTAGTGTTTTACACTACACTGTTGCAAGAAACAGTGACAGAGGTCTGATATGATAGAAAATCTGTTTTTAGTCCTGCGTAATGTTTATAGGGTGACAAATGTAACCTCCTGTCATGTATTTAAAAATACACACACACACACAATGGATTAGGATCCTGTGCCTGTGTGCCTATGATCGGAAGGTTACTGGTTCAAATCCTATCACTGGCACCATCGGGCCCTTGAACAAGGCCTTTAATCCCCAGTTGCTCCAGGGCCTTTGCCACTTTGGATAAATCCCTCCGCTAAATAAAATGTAGAACATTGAAATAAACTTTAAACAAAAAGAAATTTAAATAAACTGAACCCCATCCAGTTCACCGTTCCAGTTTCACATTGCCGTTCAGTTTTCCATGTTGTCACACATGGAGAGGTTCAGAGGGTCAGGGATTACCTTCACCACATGTCCGGCAAACACACCCTGCTTCTGACATTTGAGAGTCTGCCGGTGACCTAACCTGTTTGCGAGGTAAAGTTTCAATGTTGTGTTTCCTCTGTTTTATTTGTTCCCTCAGATTAAAGAAGAAGTCCCAGTCTGTGGATATAACCAGCCAGGGATACTCCGGTACCCTGGTTAAGGATAACCAGCATTCCCCGATAAACCGGCTTGTGCCATCTGTCGCCAGGACAACCGTATCGGGGGAGGAGGAGGGCCGAAATGCAACCAACTCCCAGAGAGCACGCAGCCCGCGACATAGTGACTTGAAGCGGTTCTACACCATGGGTAACTCCATGAGTCCCGGACGTGTAAAGGGCTGTGTGCGGTCAAGGCTGTGTGGTCAGAGTCAGGCTCAGCGGTTAGCATGACATGAACCAGCAGCTGCTGGGGTCAGTTCCAGAAGGGGCTTTGCTACTGTGCCCTTGAACGGGATCCTTAACTTGAAGTGCAGCGGTAAAAATGCAGGGTATAAAGTCAGGCAACTCACACAAGCTGACGTCTTAGCATCAGCGTGGAATGAGGGTGTAAGAGACTCTCACTTGCCGGTGCAGTCAGCACCCATTCTTACCGGTTTACTCTGCAGAACAAGATGCTCCCCCACTGTGGCAGGATTCTAGTGAAACACAATGCCGGATGGCCTCAGGGAGGCTGAGAGGACTGGGGTGAGACAGGGACTGTTTCAGCCCTGGGGTATTTTAATTTTACTGAGCTAGGCAGAGGTGGACAGACTATTCAGAGGGTGGGGCAGGGCAGGTGCTCGGAGAAAGATGTGTATTGAGAGTACAGGCTCACTCTCCAATAGCTGCATACCTTAGTGATCACATGACCTTTCTGAGCTGTGTCTCCATCACGGCGTTGGCCTCCATCTCCAGGGTGGGGCTGCTGCACCATCTCTGAGGCTGACAGATCCACACTGAGCTGATCCCCGAACCTCCATAGGTCTACAGCACCCCCCTCCCCCACCAGCAGAGTAAGGAAAGGAACCACAGGATCTCTGCAGTGAGGTGTGCCTCTGGGGTCCCGAGTGTCCAAACCCAGGAGGTTTGCTCGGGGGGCGGAACAGTAAATCCACGTGAAATAATGAGAAGTGAGCAGATCTGCAGAGTTTGGAACCATTGCTGTTGCCAGCAGTGTTCAGTGCCGTCAGCTTCTGTGATAAAATGATGGTTCTTCAGTAAATTGGAAAGTGATGGAGAAAAATGAAAGAGGCATCTGTACCCTAATAGGTATAGATTTGTGTTTGGCTTTATAAAGGAAATTGAGTCATTTACACATTTCGCCAGTGGTTATTGCTTATCGTAGTCCATTAGGACCGGGGCAACACATTTCTAACAAGGCTGCCTATATGTAGTGCACAGGGAGTCAAGCAATGGCACGTTTCTGATAGAAGTGTCACGTGTCTGACGGTGGAGTCACTATAGCTCAGCCCTCATCAGAACTCTGACGATCCAATTCAATGCTACATGCTGATATTAATAGAAAATATTAGACAAAATTCTGTTTAATCCCTGCTGGGAGTCCTGGTCGGTGCCTTTCTGTCATGTACGACAGAAACAAAAGTCTGTGATATGTTCATTGTAAACAAAGGAATCAGACCCTGGAGCAACCAAAACGCTTCTCTGAGTAGTCTGCTAAGAGGACATGGGCACAGTCAGACCACAATCAGTCCTCTAATTAGTAATCTAATTAAGGAGTTGCTGTGAAAACCCGCATACGCAACGACCCTTTCTGGATAAGATTGCCCACCCCTGATTTAGCAGGACTGCTCGGTGACCAAGGTTGGAAACGGGGCCCAGACAGTTCCCCGCCGCTAAGGTCAGCAGAAGACAAAAGAGTCATCAGGCTTCACCGCCTGTCATACTCTCCTACACGTCTGCAGACGTTTCAACCCGACCTGCTGAGAGACGGAGTTAATGCCTCATTTGGCTCTCGTGAGCTATGACTCACAGACCAGTTTAGGGTTATAACAATAACCCGTCTGATTCATCCATTTGTCTGTCTAGGAAGATCTGCACCACCAGGTTTAGTTGGAAGGGTGTCTGTCCTGCTCAAGGTCAAAGTAGGATGTTGGGTTCTTCGCTCAGTGAGAGCAAAGGTTGATTGATAGGCTCCATTTGGGTTTAGACAGCACATCGGGTTTCTTCCTGCACTTTGGTTTTTTTAGTGTTAACTAGCAGCATTAATTTAGTCATGGAATATGATGCGCTGCCTTTATTACATGTATAATGCAGAAGCGCTGATCAGCCAGTGATTAGGGGAGTGACCCCTGCTGTTTTCAGTTTTTCAGTGTCGTCACTATCGATGCAAGGTCTCTTTAACGCTGCGAGACGTCGCAAAGCAGACAGATAAGCATGCACTTAATAACCAGGAATTTCGAGTACAAATGAGCCCTTCTGCCTCTTTGGAAATGCAGTATCTCTGGTAGTCGAGACGGAACCGCAGCAGAACCGAAGGGGAACATTCCCCAAGTTTAAGGGACATGCAAACCAGGCGCCAGGAGTTACTTGAAAGATTCGGCAAGGGACCTGATACAGGACTGCGTTTCCGCGACGTCTTAGCAGCCTGTGATCCCAGGAGGACATCAGTCACCGTCCAGAGGATGACTGACAAGGAGCCGCTCCTACGCCGTCCGGCTTGCAGTGAGGAAACGCTCGTTATTTTTACTTTTTGGGCTTTTCTTAAGAATAACTGCTTTGCTTGTTAATTCCTTATGACTGCAGAGGTTAATTATCTTTTTTTTCAATTTAAACAAAATGAGTTTAAGTTGTAAACGTTATAAATAGTTTAACATGATTTTCCGTGATTATACTGTTCGGTTTAAATATGTTCCATGCTGTAGACCAGTGTATACTGTTTGTACATGATGTCATTTCAGATGACCGCTAAGCAGAGGACTGAATTATTTTCCCGATTGAACTTTTAGGTTTCACTTTTAGCAGATATCATACCGACGTCTGTAAAATCACATGCTGATTATATTAATTCGAAGTAGCCTAATGAATCAAGCGACTTAAAATTAATCATTTTATGTTTAATTATGCAGATAATATTTCTGCGAATAACGTGTCGGCTGGGCCATAACTTATTGTTTTATTTCTTTTTGACAAAGCGTGGCTGCTATATATAGTCCAAGCGTAGGAACCGGGGGGGGACTTGTCCTCCTACACATTTAATTTGACTTCATTCATCCCCCAATAAGCAGTTGTGTCCCCCCCAATATTAAACTTTGTCCTACGCCGTTGATAATGACACACCTGTATGACAAACTATATACTTAAAATATTCATGGTTTGATTCTTCTTATCAGTCCAGAGGACCCAGACAGGAAGAATCGGAGGTAATAGAAGACAGAAATGAGGGGAATGGATTATTACTCGTTAATATTAGAGATAGACAGATCGATACCTCCGTGTTCATATTCGGATACTAGAACGTTATTTACGAATTTAGTATTGGTATCAGTATCGATAATACTACGTATTAAATTCAAAACGTGCATTATGGCATCGGAAGAGCACGTGCACCGGAGCAGCGATCCCGCGGTTGAATGGTCGTGGGCGCGCCGGCTCGCGCAGGCGCCACTCATTCAGTCACTGCTTGGTCTGAAGCGGCTCACTGACAGCTTAACTAGTTAAGGTTAAACATACCTGGTAACTGTGACAACTAGCAGCTGGAGAGCCGTAGAGAGTGCAGAAAAGTAGGTGCCTGCTTAAAAGGTCGTTTCAAAAATTGCTAAGGGGTCTAAAAATCGCCAAGTGAATATATTCGAAACCTAACAAAACGTGTCAGGTCTTTTTCATTTCAGCAAAAAGCGAGACACGCAGCCTTGTTATCTCTGACTGTTAGTCAAGCTGTTCGTCGTGTCAGCTGAGAAACCACGTGCTGCGGCAGATGATCCGAGATACCATTTACTCAGGAGTCACGAACATTTGAACCTTGGCGCAAATCGGTTTTCCCAATAGAGTTTAAAATCGAGGTCATACTGCGTCTATACCATCTGTGCGTTTTCATTTATAACCATCATCCAACTTATTCAGTGCAGGGTTGTTGGGGTGTCCTCAATATGTATTTCAAATACACAATTATATATAGTATATTGTATTTTACATTTGTTTTCATTTTGGATAACTGATTATGTTGGATATTGTGTTGGATAACTTTTCAATACCTGAGTTTATTCATCCAGAAAATACTGATGGCATAATTTTTGTTCTATTTGAGAAGAACATCAGCAAAGTTTAGACCACTTATGTTCTCTGAAATCCTATTCCGAATCAGCAGTGAGATTGTGCATTAGTACACATTTTCAGCAGTGAGGTTACATTCGCTTTGGTTGAAGTGTATATTTTTGATGAGGACTGGATTACAGTAAACAAACTGTTCACAGGACTCTTGCACAGGGTTACAAAGTCAAGTAAAAACCATCAGCTCCATGCTGTGTGCAGAGATTAACGAATCTGTGGGAGAGGACACCCCTCACCAAACACTTTCAGGGTCCCACTGAGTCAGCCCTGGGCCTCATTGGCCGAAAAACCCAATGAGGTCAATGTCTGTGTGTGTGTGTGTTGTGTGGAACAGAGAAACTGCTGTGTTGTTATATCTTTTATGCTACATGAATTCAGGGAGAAGATGCCAGCTGCACACACTGTCTTGGAGGTGGGAGACCATAGCGCTTCCCACTGATGCATGACACCTCACAAAATCCAAAAATGAATTGCTCCCTGAGCTTGTGCTGTTGTATGTTGATAGTGAATGTCACCAACATGGTGCTGGACCACAATGTGTGATGTATTCTCTAACTGGTAATTACCTTCAGACCCACAACTTTGTGTACGTTGGCTGGGTATGTGCAAGAATCCCTGCACCGTAATAAATTCTCACTATTGGGCTGGTGTACACACACAGATCCATGTGTCCCGGCTGGCTATAATTCCGGTTTTGTTCTGATTAATGTTCTGATTAAGGCGGATATAGATTCTTTTGATCGGCCTTCAGATTTACTGCGGGGCGATAATCTGAAGGGTTGTTAGCTTTTCTGCTGTCCGCTGGTCAGTCAAGTAGACATCTTGTGCTCCTGCTCTTCTTGCTCCCTCAGGGCAGGGAGCTTTGCTCCACATCCGTCAAGTGAGGGGAAATGCAGGAGTCAGCATAATGCACATGAGTCTATAAGGCTCTGTCACATTCAGTCAGCGAGCAGGAGATTCCGCTCCTGCTGCTCTTCGGACATTAGGTCTGTGTCAATCTCCCCAGGTTGCAAAATGCAGACAAGCCAGTACTAATCCTCCGATAAGCTTAGCGGTGTTGTTGTAAGCTCTGCAGATGGTGAAATTTGTGTTTTTGTTGACATGCTCGTTGATTTGCAGTGCTGCATTTTGGATGCTTATTTCGAAAGCTTCAGTTTTCATCCTTGAGTTCTGTAGGATTACATTACAGGGTTACTTTCAGCACATTAAACTCAAGATACTGAGACTGGGCTAATACTAGTTATGTTATTTGTGTCATAGCTGTAATTCTTGGTTTAGCTCTTACAACTCTGCGAGGAATACTCTGTGTGTATGCCAGGCACAGAGACAATAACCGAAAGATATATAGTTATCTAAAAATATTTTTAAATCCATTTTCAGATATCTGGACTGTAACAAAATAGATCTGAGATCCTAGTGCAAAGTCAGCGGGTTTAATGAATCGTAATCTGAGCTAACAGGCGAAATCGAAATCCAAGAATTGTAGGTCAAAACACAGGCAAAAGGTCAGAAACAAAGTCCACATCACAATCAGCAAGCAGGGTTAGAAGATAGGCAAGGATCCAGAGTGCAGAAGTGGTCTCACAGATTTGGAAAGAGTCAGCCAGGCTATGAAGGAGCAACCACCATACCTCACAAGGGTACTGTTTTAGAGAGGTGCTTATATCACCTTAGTGTGATGGCCTGTCGTGCTACAGGCATATCTAGTAATGAGTAGAAGCAGCCTGTGGTCTGGTGGGGTGTCATTATCTGGAGGTAGAAATGACCTGGTGAGTAGCTTATCTATCCGTCAGCCATCTTAACATGTGTGAGACCTGACTTCAGGATGTTGTAAATGATTTTTAGGTACTTTGATATATCTCAGTTTGTCCAGGTTCAGAAGCTTCTCACCCAGACAGACTTGCAGGGATAGGAAGCTCATGAAATGAGCTCGTGGAAAAACATCAAACTAGGGTGACCACCAGCATAACTGTACAACGGAGGACACCTGTGTGCTAAAAGGGGGACTGAGGCTCTAAAAGGAGGACACTCATTAAAAGTTGTTGGGGGGCGTTGGGGGTTCTATGACACACATACTACAGAAGCCGAGAATTGTCTTGTTATCTGGATAATGTCATGAAAAAAAATCCAGGAAGTCATCACCCAAACTCACACACACATACCTCTTAATGCTAATTTAGCTCTGTGGATTTACCTTGTGTCTAAGCATATCTCTAAATTATCTGTCATTAAAAATGTCAAGGGTCATTTATAGGCATTGTTAAATTGTTCTTAATTGCAGTTTCACCCATCCTGTGAAGAGGTATCTTAGCTCAGACATATTTCAGCATATCTGAAGATGTGCAGCTCCATTCTTACTGACTTCAAAGAACTTTAAGATACCCTGAAGATATTTTGAAGGTACTTCAAAGTCCCTTACGGATGCTCTTTACAATGCCTGGACGAGGACAGGCAGCTGTAGTTGGTGTCTTCTGGTTCCACCGGCCACATCCTCGCTACGTATTAGAGCCTGTTAGAGCTACAAGGTGCAGTTTCGCTTTCTTTAGAGCTGGAGAGGATATGAGAGTGTCAGCATATCAAGAGGGGGACTGGCTGTCTTTCTAAACGTGTAGACTTATTGTATTTTTTCTTTTTTTTCTTACATGAAGGCATATTCTCTCGCCTCCAGATTCTGAGCGTGACGCCAACGCCTAGTACACACAGCAGGATGTCAACAGATACACAGAAGCCCTCAGAGATACAGTCAGGGAGGTACAGATCCGTATGAGTCTGCAGGGAGCATCTGCTTCCTTTCACATGAGAGGAAAGTCATCCTCACCATCTGGAGCTGTGGCTGTTAAATTTCTACTTTAAAGGAGTAAACGGCTAAACACGTTTCGGAAAACGAGCCGTCTTCCCTGCTTCCCCACCAAGGGTGTGTCATTAAAATCCCAGGGATTCTCCATCTCTCATCACTGATTTTTAATTACTCTTCTCCCAGTGGATACCCAGTGCCATTTGTCGTTTCGTTTCTGCAGTTTTGCCATCGTGATGATGGAGCACAGGGTGCTGTTCTGGCTTGTGCCTTAGCCTCACACCTCCCAGGGGTACAGGGCTAAATCGGGTGTCCAACCTGGTATCCTACAAGATGCAATTTTTCTTAACATAGCAACAGATTAGAACAGTATTTCCCAAACCGGCCCTTTGGCAGGGAGCTTGGAGGAAGCAAAAACATGGCCCGACTGTGTATCCTTGAGGACCAGATTGGGAAACACTGGACTGGCCCAGAACCTGACACGTGGACCTGGGCCCCCTGCCCCCCACCCATCCATGATTCCTTGATCCTCATCTGTAGTCAGTGTCCTCTTTTTCAGTTGCCTTCTATCAGCCTATAAAATCCCCCCTCTGCCTTTATCCTTGTGCCACGTGGTTGTCCGGCCTAACGAAAGCAGTGTGCCCTGTCGGGGGTAAAAGGAGCCAATCAGCTGCGTGTTGGTTGCCAAACAGCATGTTTGTGAATGTCTCCCCTGTGCTACCCTGCCTGCTAATCAAGACCCACGTAGCACCAGTCAGCGGTTAGAGACAAATAACGGCAGCCGTGCCCTGTGGGGGTGATGTTTCGATGTTTTTCTGAAGGGGCTGCTGTCTCCACCCCGTCCTTTTACATCCAGTCTAACCGTATTCAGAAACACGTCTGTTGGCCGTGGACGTCGATAGCCTGCTCCCCTGGGCTTCCCCGCTGAGCTAACACGAGTATTGATCCTCTCGCTGTAGCTCCAGCAGATCACATGTCTCTGCCATGGGCATTTGAAGGGGCTTCGGGATCTTCTGCTGGAGGTAAAGCCCCACTGCTGTGTTGATCAGTCAGCCTCTTATTTCTCCTTTGGAGGATTTTGTAACATGCTTTGAAAGAGGATAAACAGCTCATATAAACCAAGCAGCCCCTGAGACCACTAAGTTCAGCCTTCTGGGGTAGTCTGTGTTTTCTTTTTGTGCGAGGATGACTGTTAACATCATAAACTGTCTCTGTTTTGTCTTATATCCAGTTAAACTTTCTCATGTTTATTAGGTCTAAGCTTGTAGGTTTGGTAAGTTTACCAGTGTTAGAAGGTTTACAAGTTTTTAAGTGGAGTGTTAAGTGTTACACAGTGTGTGTTATTACCAGGGGCACTTTGGGGAACTCGGGGCTGTGCAAATCATAACCCCCCCCCATCTGTAAAGGGGAAGCCCTGTTCTGCCTTGGCGGTGCCGTCTCCTCTCAGCTCCGGCCAGGCTGACGCAAGACAGCGAGCAGCGGGCGGGGAGCTTGGGGGAGACAAAGGGAGGTGACGCGCTCCTTACTACTCTGCTTTCAGACTCCGGGCAGAAGAAGGAGACGAGACGTGCGGCATTCCAGAAACCCAAGGGCACCACGGAGTACTGCGTGAGTATATGCCGACTCGCCCAGATCAGAGTATACCTTGTGAGTACACGCTGAGCTGCCTAGTTCAGAGTATGCCTCGTGAATGTATTCCTAGTCACTCAGATTAGAGTATACCTCATGAGTACATGCCGAGCAGCCTAGTTCAGAGTATACCGCATGAGTATGCACCAAGACCTCATATGAGCCAATCTCATAGTAAACTGCGTGAGTACGCATGAACTGCCTGGCCCAGAGTATTCCTTGCAAGTACTCGTTGAGACGCCTAGTTCAGAGTATATTTCATGAGTACGTGCTGAGCCACCTAATTCAGAGAATACCTAGTGATTACACGCTAAACTGGCTAGATAAGAGTATACCTTGTGAGTACATGCCAAGTTGCCTAGTTCAGAGTATACCTCTGAGTGCACACCGAGTCGCCCAGGTCCGAGTATACCTTATGAGTACATGCCAAGCTGCCTAGTTCAGAGTATACCACATGAGTATGTGCCAAGCCACTCAGCTCATAGTAAACCTTGTGAGTATGACAAACTGCCTGCCCCAGAGTATACCTTATGAGTACACACCAAGCCACCTAGTTCAGTGTATACTTTGTGAGTACATGCTGAGCTGCCTAGTTCAGAGTATACCTCGTGAGTACACGCTGAGCTCCCTAGTTCAGAGTATACCTCGTGAGTACACGCTGAGCTCCCTAGTTCAGAGTATACCTCATGAGTATGTGCCAAGCCGCCCAGCTCATAGTAAATCGCATGAGTACACACAAACTGCCTGGCCCAGAATATACCACGTGAGCACACACAGAGCCACCTGGCTCAGAGTATGCAGCATGAGTACAGGGATTCCAGGGATTCTGGCAGTTTAGCTCACTTGTTTATACCCAGTTATGTTTAAAAGATGATGCGTAAACTGCAGGCGATTCCCTCTTCCTCTCCCAGCGAACTGTGCCTCGAGTCGGCGAGAGCTTGGTGTTCACGGACGGAGCAGTCTGACGCTCCTCTTCATCTCTCCATCTTTGTGCCTGTTTCTACACACATCACTTTGTCATTCTTATACGATTGACCTTCCAGCTGCGTTGTCCTTTCTGTCGATCGGATGCACTGTCAGGAGATGTGTCTCGCTCTGCAAATGTGCCCCCCCACCCCCCAATGAGGCTTTGCTCTGCCCAGTGCCCGGGGACAGAAGTTGTGGGACTCGAGATGGCACTCCCATATCCAGCTGGCTCTGTCCACCTCCAGCTGAAAACAAACAGTGTGTAGCAGCGGATGGGGGTAGGCCTGCTGATCAGCCCAATAGAGACTGACTCCCCCTCCACAGCTGTCACCCCTAACCCTTAACACATCTCCTGACACAATGGAATCGGTCTCGCTTCTGTTGGGCCTTCTGATCAGGTTACAGCTGTGTAAGGTGAAGGGATGCAAACTTGGGTATACCTGAGCCTTAACCATATTACCACAGTACTACCATATTAAGCACCATGAAGAGTACAGAGCAGATGAACTACAGAGGATAAGCATGGGGGAATGGCAAAAAATTTGACTGTGAAGGGCTGTTTGTGATGAATTGGATTTTCCAGCATCAGGAACTATCATTACCATTTTTGCAGAGGGTGCTGAAGTCAAACTCCCAAACTTTGGGTGACTGCGCATCCCAGAAAAAAAGAAAATTGTGCAGAAGACACAAAGCACATCATTCTGCCATTTCTGCCCTCCCTCGCTCCACTTGATGCAGCAATCAGACGTGACCGCGGTAATTTCAGGTCTTCGGGCAGGAAACGTGGTGTTCTGTCAGAGCGGGCTCATTTAGGGCTTTGTGAAATACTGCCAGTTAGGAGATAGCGAAGTGATGTCACCCAGGCTAGCAGCAGGGAAAGTTGCTATGGAAACCGTCGACTTTAAATCCTTGACTCTGAATGCTGCAGCTTTCTTCTCTTTTCTGCTCAGATCCAGCACAGTGAGCAGCTCGGCATCATGGGAGATCCAGTAGTTTGTGTAGTGCAGTGTGTGAGAGATCGAGGGCACTCCTTTAATAATACCTCAGAGTAACCCCTCAGTTCTGCAGGAACAGCCTTGAGGGTGCTAAAAATGGCTCATTACCATAGCGAGCGCCTTGATTGTGTTTGACGTGGAAAGGCATCAATCAGTTACCTTCAGTGTTTCTGTGGCACCTGAAGTACCTTCCTCAGGGCTGCTCAAAGCCCATGTGGCACCCTAGGCAAGCTACAGCCACGAATTGGGGACCCTCCCCCCCCCCCCCCCCCGAAACACGGAGTTTGTGTCGCTTCATCCACCCAGAAGGCTCTAGTGAATTTCAAATGGGCTGGTGCCCCGCCCCCCCCCCCCCCCCCCCACCCCCACCCCAAGACAAAGTGAAATTAGGTGGTAAAACTTGATGGGGGCCCCCTAGGCGGCCACCGAAGTAACCTATAGGATTGACCAGCCCTGATGTTCCTGTAGAAGATGGTTTACCTGAGAGGGTTTGGAGTTTATCCAGAAGCAGGACTTCAGTTACATCAAAAATCATTCAATCTTCAGAGCAAAAACTGGAAAAATTGTTTCCACCTTTAATTGGAAAGCTGTGAAGGAGATGCGGCAGCCCGGATCACCTGGGATAAAGCAGCCCCTGGTGACAGGGCTCCCTGGCTCTGTCACCCCTGAGTCGTTTAGCAGTCACCCCAGGAAATGAAGTGTGACTTTCCTGGAAGCTCACTAATGAGGCAGTGGTATAAAGGAGAGACCGTCACACCGTTAGGAATCACTCATGCCGGCTGAGTGTGACGCTGTCATCCAGTTTTAATCACGTCCGTGTGTCACACCCACATAAACCCTTTATCAGGACGTCCATACAACCCCCCTGCCACGCCAACAGAAAGTGTTCGTCTGAATTCATTATTACATTTTCGTGGTAATGGTGCTGTGATGTTTCCCTGGAAGCCAGTGTGAGCAAGCGAGTCTCTCCTCTTCTCACTTACCTCCATTTGTCGGTGGTCCTCAGCGTCCTTGCAGCCCATCTAGCAGCCATTCTGGGTCACATTAGACTACATCTGGACAGTATGAGGAAGCCCCTCGGCAGCCACAAAAGGATTTACAGACAATAGCTTATGGTCTTGGCCAAAGCAGCATACATAGATTTTTTTTTTTTAAAAACAATTGGGGGTTGAAGCCTTGTTCAAGCAGCTGAGATCATTCTATTAACCATGGGATTTGAACCAGCAACCTTCTGATCATGGATGCAACACCCTAACGCAGTGACCCACATAGCAGCAGGTGATTTTTTGAGAAAGGCTCGACCTACTGTCTCTGTGTTCATCTCTAGTTGAATTAGTGTGACTGGACTTTGTTAACATGCCAAATGTGCTGTAATGCAACTGTCTCTAGGACCTGGTGTAGCTAAGCTGCAGGCTGATCCGCTGAAGCCACACTTAACTGAACTTACCAGCCTTTAGCTTATTAATTTACATTGGTACTGCCCCATTGGATTGCTACAGTAAGTGCCCCCCCCCCCCCCCCCCCAGGCTAAATCACCACACACTTTTCTTCACTCCCTTTCTGGAACTTTTCCGGACTGCTGAAATGGCAGTCGCATATAGGGACACCAATATGTACTTCCTCCTCTCCGGTAGGATGATCATGTGACAAGTCTCCCCCCGCTTCTACCATTTCCCCACATGGGACAGCAGCACCAGCTGCATGACTGACACGCCGAGGACCCCTAGTGTGGCCGCCTAGTATTGCTATTATTAACACAAATAATCCCCTACACAGCACTACTGTCTCCAGGTGAGAACATTGGTACCAATGTTCATGTCTAAAATGAAATCGGATTGCATAACTCAAGCTTGTAGATACACATTACTTACTTAGATTTATATTTGTATACTTTAGTCATTAGGCTGACAAACGTAAATGCGTTTGGCTCCAACAAATCTGATTTGTCACCACAATACAATAAAACCGGGGTTTCTAGTCTCAATGTGCAGAGTGGAACTCAGAAGATGAGGGATTTGTGCAATGTATAAACTGCTTCAGGTTTAACACATTCACATCCGTATCATAGCAGACTCATTATTGTAATTATTTTATTAATATAGAAATTGAAATAATGTAATTAATTACCATATGTATTGGTATGTTATATTTGTCATTAACATATTTATTGGTAGATTGCTAGTATTATATGAGAGCATTGCTGTAAATACCCACCCTGTTTCCTCCCTCCCTTTCATTTATTGGGAATAGCATTGTGAGGTATGTACTGAACTCTCGGCCAGCTGTAAGGATCTGGAGATTCATACCTGACTCATCGCTAGGGGTCGCTGATCCCGTGGCCCTTTCTGATCCATTGCCACTATCTTAGGATTAGTATTTGCCAGTCAAAGAATCTCACCTGCAGAGCATGTGACTGTATATACATTTACATGCCTGGGGCTTTAACCTGACAAACAAACGTAAATGCAAGCAGTGTCACTCCAGCTGAGCCCGGCTACACTTCTGCTACATTTGGAGGTTACTTAGATGTCCTGGCAGGGCGACTGGCACATTACGCAGTCAGTCAGGCAGCATGTGGCTTAATGGGTAAGGAATATGTGCCGGTGATCAGAAGGTTGCTGGTTTAAATCCTTGAGTTGGCAGAGAGATTTCACTGTTGGGCACAGGAACAGGACCCTTATCTCTCAATTGCTCTAAAGGTTCAGTACACTGGTTGAGAAATTGATGTTGGTTTAATAAAAGCGTGTGATAGATAAATAAAATCCCCCAACAGGATGGGGATGGAAACACATAACCAGAAGCAAACATAAGACCAGTGACCGTGAAGACTATGGCCAGTAGGTGGGAGGCCACTTGTTCACTGACATAAACACTGTGAGATGTGCTGAATGAAACTATCCACCTAGGGATGTGGATCTCCATCACTGAGGCTAATGCGATACACATCATGATGCACTGTCAATGATCATATACATCAAAGATACATATGTAGCACCAATGCAATACGAAATGATTCACCCCTATTGCGATGCAGTGCGATTCGACATGATGCGATGCAAAAGAATATTTGTATCTGTTTTTTAATCAGGGCAATCTCATCGTGAACTTTTAGGCCGGTGCACCGTTGTGAATCGGTGAATCTTACTATCCCTATAACCCGCCCAAGGAAGTCCACAGTGTGATACTTCCTGTTTGATTGCACTATTTTTTTCTCGGCTCAGGTGGAATCGCGGGACACGCTGAACAGCATCGCCCTGAAGTTCGACACCACCCCCAACGCGCTTGTCCAGCTGAACAAACTCTTTTCCAGGGCTGTCGTTCCCGGACAGGTTTGGCTCACTTCTGCTCTTCTTACGTGCCTTCGTATGTGTTCCATTTCCCATTCCTCTCGCCAAACATACATGTGAGGTCACTTCAAAAATCTCAATTTCTATCCTTCACTGAGGACGGTCTTCTTTAATGTCCATGTGATGGTCGCAGAGTCTCCCCAAGGCTTCCTACAGTTTTACTCAAAGAACTCAGTCAAACAGCTGAGATCCTCCAAGCAGATCTTATTTTCAGTGCTGCATAATTAAGAGGTTGAGTTGCATCTCCTAGATCCACATCCACAGAACTCTCTGAGGTCCTCCAGCGTGCTGAAGGGGGCGCTGAGAGGGTGATGGGGTAGTCACTTGCTGCTCCATGTTTTGGTGGGCTCAAACGGGTCAAGAAGCCTTGCATAAATCTCAGCACTTCACCCAGCCCCCCCAAGCAGACTTCACGAGTCACTGACCCCCCCCCAGCAGGTCCACCTGAAGTAACTGCACCTCTCCCCTTCACTGCTAATGTGCCCGTGTTGAGATTATGTGTGTCGTATGAGTATGTCTGTGTGTCTCTGTGCCCCCCCCACATAAAGACAGCCCTCTGAATACATTTACAGATTCTGTACGTCCCCGATCCTGACTACGTCTCCAGCGCTGAGAGCTCCCCCTCCCTAAGCCCCGTCGGCCCCCTGTCTCCCACCTCATCCGAGGCCGACCTTGAGAAGCTCACCACGGTACGTTCAGCTACAGTGCAAAGCACTTTTATCTCATAGAGAAACAAATGCCTTTGTTGTTCCTTATAAAACCACAGAGGAGCAATTCTACTGTTACTCTGATATAGATTTCATTATGAGAAGATTGTTGATTGCTGTGATGTTGGCATATTTGTCGCCTGGCTCTCAGGAATTTCCCTCGCAGTATTTCATCGCAACTCCCTGAGGAGGAGGAGAGTTAACTAGAGAACCACATACATCCTGGAGGAAATGTGATTGTGACAAAAAGATCAATGTGGGCCAATTTCTCCTCTGTTGAGTGTTGGGTGACATGGCTGTAGGCTGCTTATGAGGTTTAGTGGCTGTAACCTGTACAGTGACTGTCCAGGAAGCATCTGAAAATGAATGGAAGTCACTGGGAGGAAGGAGGGATGAAAAAAATGGCAAAAAGATGAGTGCAGGCTCATATACCTAGATGCTGCACCAAAGAAATTGATTGCTTTAGGGCAAGTAAATCTCGATACGGGTGGCACTTGCTGGAAGGTTTAACTAAGTGGCAAGGACTTTGATAAACTACGTTGCCCAGCTTTCTTAATGCATTCTGTGGATGATGCCTGGAAAATACAGGAACTTTAAACACGTTCATATAGTTTGCTGAACTAGAGAGAACACAAAGCATATTAGAGTGGCCTTGTTTACTGGGACATTTCTCCATAGAGTTATTTTTTAAATATACCTTTCAGTCCTGGATATGCACTTTCTCTAATGTCTGAGAATTCCTCTTACGATAGTTGCTTCCCGTTGCCTGTAAGAGCGCATATCCATGTTCTATAGATGTGACCAGAAAACGGTCATAACACCAAACAGCAGCAGAACACCAGAACATAACCCAACACTAAAGAAACTGGAGTCGGCTTTGGCTGTATGGGAAGGAGCACACGCTTTGGGATGTGGGCAGGCTCGACGGGGGGGGGGGGGGGGGGGAGATTTACTGTACCAGTGAAAGCAGGGACATGCAAATTGACTCAACATTGTATTCTTGGACAGCAGATATCCCCACCCCCCATCTCACACTCTCATAAGTCACACAGTGAGAGCCAATAGCCTGTGGAGAACCTGTATCTGAACAGCAGGTAATGAAGTACCAGTGAGTCAGGGAGGCACGATGGCCACCTCAAGACGTTCCTGTCAGGGCCTGCTGGGTGACGGACACACACTGGAGGTACTTTATCAGGCGTCTGCCCTCTGTGATCTCCTGCTGTTCTCCAGGATTCAGATGGAGCTCCTCAGAAGGACATTCCAGTTCCCCAGGTCCACATCCCTCCCCGTAGCACCCGGGTGGTGTCATCCACCTCCGAAGAGGAGGAGGCGCTGACGGAGAAGTTCCTCAAAATCAACTGCAAGTACATCACGGACGGCAAGGTGAGCGCCGTTGCCACTTGGGGAGTTCCCCCCCCCCCCCCGATGCGACAGGCCCCTCCTCCTCCGCTGACCGCTCTACGCCATCTCACCAGGGCATCATCAGCGGGGTGCTCCTGGTCACGCCCAACAACATCATGTTCGACCCCCACCGGGCGGACCCCCTGGTGCTGGAGCGTGGCTGCGAGGAGTACGGCATCATGTGTCCTCTGGAGGAGATCATGTCTGCCACTGCATACAAGGAGATAAGCGACGTCAAGATCAAGGAGTCCATCCCCGCGTAAGAGGCGTGGGCCGAGCGGGACAGCGTCAGTGACCGTGAGATATCTGTGCCTCCGCAATCACAGAGCGTCTAGGCGGGAGGCATTGATTCCTAAACCGCCCAGTGCTGACCCATTTTACCCCCACAGACTGTGCTAGCATTCCTTAAGCACCTCCTTTTTAAAGTCTTTCCTTTAAAAGGTCTCGTTTAAATAGGACCAGCATAATCATCCAGCAATTTAGCATTTCTGACATCAAAATATATAATTCTACTGATTTTCCTTTCCATTTGTGCACCTCATTTTCATAACCACTTTTTCTATGTAGGGCCGGGGAGGATTATATGCCGATTTACTGATTCATCGTTTTTATGAGGATATTTTGGTGGCAGAGTAGCACGCTTAACTCATGCACCAAATGTTCGTGCTTCTCTGCAGAGATCTAGAAGCCCTCTTGTCAGGGTCTGACCCAGGTCCCCCGAAGAGACCCACACGTGCCGACATAATGGGACCATGCCCTCAGGACACGGGCAATGACAGCGGCAGCACAGCCCCCCGCAGCACCGAGGGCTCCGTCTCTGAGGAGGTCTTCACTGAGTCGGAGCTCTCCCCCATCCGAGAGGAGTTGCCCTCTTCCGACGAGCTGCACCTCAACAAGTCGTCCGGCGCCTCCTCAGAGTCAGTGCAGACCATCAACCAGGTTAAAGCCCCGGAGGCAAAGGAACCTGAGGCAGAGAGCAGTTCTCTGGGAAATTCTCAGAGTGCGCCCCCTGCTGGTGAGGCAGATGGGGTCGAGTCCGGCATCTCCAAGTCACAAGAGGGACTTGGGAAAGAGGAAACTCAGAAAGTCGGGGCAGATGAGGGGCTACAAGTCAAGACAGAAGAGGAGCCACAGACCAGTGAGCTGAAAAAGGAACTGGACCAGAAACAGGATGCAGCCGGACCGTCAGAGGTGCCCGAGAGCCAGGAAATGGCTGAAGGTAGGAAGACAGCTGGCCTAAGGTGGACATGTTTGTTTTTGTTTTGTGGTCCTAATGATGCACATTAGAGACTAGAACATAAGAACATAAGAACTTATGTTCTTATGTTCTAGTGCTTTTTCCTCACTCTAAAACAGTAACAACTTTGAGTGTGCCCCCTTCTGGTGATTCACAGCTTAACTTTGGGACAGGCTTCCATGTCTTCCATGTCAAGCTCTCTTGTATAGTAAAGAGGATGAGCTTAAATATTAACACTATATGATTTTGTTTCAGCTCGATCAACACAAAAAAAATCAATTTATTTATTTGGAAAATGCTTTTGTTCAAACACAAAGTATCCCAAGCATACAGCTGTCAAGTGACCAAAAACGATTTATAGGAACATTGCTTAAAACCTCATGTCATATATGCTATACACAAAAATAGAAGTGTAATGTTGAAGTGCTCCCAAAGAAAATGTAAATGTAACATAAATGTGAATAACGTAGAATATACTTATTTTATGTATTTATCTTAAATTTGTGGTTAATGCTCATGTTAATAAGCCAGACAGTGTGTAGCAAACTGAAATTCTTCTGATGATCTGGGCTGTTAATGTGGATGTTTGGGTTAGATTAGTATTCCCAGAAAAACAATTAGCTTCAAATGTACTCCATTCATATAGCATCAGGCATGTTTCCAGATGCCCTACAGATACTACAGGTTTTCTAGCTGGTCGGATATCTGGCTGCTATGGCACATACAAGATGTCTCTCATCCATGGTTTTCTGGATTGAGCAGGAATAACTTTACATGATTGGGAAAAACACGACCTGAAGCACATGGAAGACTGTGGCTGAATAAGGTCGGGTTTAGGGCTTATCCTCCAGCTTTGATCAAAGGAAGTTCCACTTAAAAAACTCCGTCCAATAGGGCAGGTCATTTACCAGCTACAGACTGACATCACAAGTGATGAGGTCATTGAGGCTATTTTACTGGCTGGTTGGATCGGTCACGCCAGTGTGCATCATCTTTATTGGTTCTCCTTCATGGTGCCCTATTGTGTCTGCCTGCTCCATGGTCAGGTGGCATTTTTCTTGAAACCCCTCCATACCTCCCTCCCTCCCCTGTCACAGGAATGGAGGCACGCGGGGAGAAACAAAGGCAGCAAACACACAGGTTCCTGTGCTTGCGGGTCGGCAGGCCCATGAAGAAGACCTTTGTGTCGCAAGCCAGTGCCTCCATGCAACAGTATGCCCAGAGGGGCAGGAAGCATGAGTACTGGTTCACTGTCCCACAGGAGAGGTAAAGGTGCTGCTGCTGATGATGGTGATGATGATGATGATTACGTCAGTCAGTCTTCAGTAAACCTGGACCCTGGAATCTCAATCATAAGGGAGAGACGCCAGACACATGCATACACACTAAGGACAATGTAGTGGCACGGATCTGCAAACTGCATGTCTTTGGACAGCTGAAAGCTGGAGCACATAGAGGAAACCTGATGTGAACATGAGGAGAACATCCAACATTTACACATAGAGACTGTGAGACCAAAGCGAAAACAATTTTCAGTAATAAATTTGTCCAAATTATCTAAGTGTTTCGTAAAATACATCAATAATTATGCATAAATGAAAAGGTGGTTTTATCATCAGTGGCGCATAAACAATACCGTGATACCCAGTTTCATTTAAATAGAGGGAAACTGATAAAAATTAAAACTCACTATGAATAAATGTGTATATATAAATATAGCATTATTCCATGCAAGTTCAATGGGAAGTATTTAAACGAAGAATCATTGAATACATTAAAGCACATCATTCTCCCACAAAATCTCATTATAGCTTTATGGGTTTAATTTTAACAAGGACAGCTGTCAGAGCTGCCTGACATTGTGAGGAAGTGGCTGAGGTTTCCCAAGCTGGCACCGTTGCTCTGAAATGGTGTGTCTGGCAGGAAAACTGTCTGCGCTGTTATAGCCACAATAACGGTCAGCCAGTTCTTATGTTTCAGGTCAGACCACCTATACCTGTTCTTCGTCCAGTGGAGCCCAGAGACTTACGGGGATAGGGGTGTGATCCAGGCCCAAGAACCAGGGTTCAAGGTGGTCAAGAGGAATGAGCATATAGGAGTCAGTGAGGAGGAGAAGACCGATATCTCGACGAAAGAGTGGGAGGTGAGCTTGTCTGAAAAACCCAAATATGCTCCTTGTAAGAGTGTTGCCTAAGTTCAAAGGGAAGATCTGCGTATCTTTGTGATTTGCTGACGTTGCAAAAAACAGCAGAGTAAATGTGTGTATTTTTATGTGTCATCTTAGCCCTTGAAATGTCTCCATTTCCATTTCTCTGGTGTCATGTCTGTTGTGAAACACTTTGATTCTGCTTGATAGTTCACTTCACCATGGACATCTTGTCTACGGCACCATCTGCATCACTGTGTTTATGGGTAATGCTGCGGTTTTATTTTCTATAATATACAGCTGCACGGAAATGTTATCTAATTACACAATAACATTTGTTAGTTTTAATCAACTTTTAATTATATTTTTGACTTTGAAGGACTTTTATTCTTGAAATAATATACTTACTTCAACAGTAACAGTGCAGACATCTGTTAAATTAACATATACGTGGGTTGTCTTCATCTAGAAGTCATTCTTTCAAACCCAGATTTGGCATTAGGTCCCAAAATTTAAATCACTTATAGAAAGCTTCACTTGAAGCAATTAGGAGACCTGTCTGTGGCCAAAAAAAAAGGTAATTATACCACATTTTATCACTGAATGTGACTGTGGTTCATCATCCATCACTGTGAAAGCCCTTTTACAATTAATTAGCTGAATAGTCACAATGCTGAAGGCCTCCTTTAACAAGTTAGATGATGCCTCTAAAATGAGCCCTAAGCCATGAACACACTTGCAGCACCACTGATTTCAGGGCACACTTTTGTGCAGACCTTCAGATGTCACAATGGAGCTTTCATTTCACTGGGCAAAAGGGCGTGGTTCTACGTTATCTCACAGATCCAGTATTGTAAAACTGAGGCCAGATATGAGGACTCCGATCAGTCTCGCCAGTGGTTTTTGTTCTGAATGTAAGTGCGGATTTCTAATATGGAAATTGGATTGAGCTAACAAAAGCACTGTGCTCTGTTCTCAGTGAAGTATTTCGAATTTTTATGCGCGTATCTTTTTGTCAGTACATCGTTTGTGTGGCTGTATTAGATTTTCTTAGATAAGACTACGCCGCAGATGAAGCCTTCACGCTTCCACGTCCAAACCTGGCCTTCCATGTAGCTTTAAATCACGCTGTTACCGAGTGTAAACACACGCGGACAATCTGAGGAAGTCCCGCCCTCAGGGCTCCAGCGGCGTATTGACGTTGACGTTTGTAGACCTCTTACCTTCCGATTGGCTGTCTGGTCAGTCAGACATCTCGATACGGGGGACCTAAAAGGTCGCCGCTTCTTCTACTATTTTGGTTAGTTGGGCGCCAGTGATGCTGGTGATTTTCTGACCGTGTGAATCGTTAAAATAACCGGGAAATGTAAATATCGCCTGAAACATGTTTTCCTGGAGAAGGCTGAAGGAAGGAAAGAAATTAAACCCGAAGTACAGCTATGCATTGGTAATTTTCGCTTTGTCGTTGATTCAGAGGTCTGTGGTGAGATTCGTAGAGAGTGTCCGTCTGACCACCCCCTGGTGTAGGCGGCCCCCGGAGGCTACATTGTTTTATTCACAGAATAGGAGGATCGGGAGTTATTATTTTGGGGGATGGGATGTCTAGTCTTGAACTTTTATGACTAAATGTCCTTTAAATACACGTTATGATGTTTCATACAATATTATGTTTGTGTGTTCAGGGTTTTGCATTTACTGATGTTCATGCTGGGTATAGGAAAGTTTGTGAGTGTTTGAGAGATGCCGTTATTTTCGGTGAAATTAAATGTTATGAAAACATACAAAGAATAAAAGCTGAGGCTGTGTATTTGACCAGTTGTCCGGATTAAATTGGATCATTGTAATGTTTAGAACACAGGTAACACTTTACTTGACGGGGCACAAATACTTAGTAATAACTCAGTTACTACTCAAGTACAAATTTTGAACAAATCATGAACAAATATTATAGCTACTTGAGAGAAAAAAAATGCGGCGTGATTCATTAATGATGAGCAAACATGAGATCAGTATTTGATTGATTCAGTAGTTCTTTCAGTAGTTCACTAAGATTTACAGCATTAACATATATTAACAAATATAGTAACTGTTTGAAATAAAACGTGCATCACGATTCATTAATGATGAATTAACATGAGATCAGTATGTAACTAAGACTTTTGTGTTTAATTAATACATAGGTAATAATATAATACTATATTATTTGTGCCCCGTCAAGTCAAGTGTTACCCAAGTTGTACTTAAATTTGGAATCTATTGTATAAAATGGTTTAATGTTGTTCTTTTGAGGCTGTGTTTCAAAGACATGGTATTGTCTTGAGACCCAACATGAAAGCTAGTTACATGAGGACTGGGGTGATATTGCAATATATTTTATTGCAATGTTTTTTTTCCCCCCATATCGGTTGATATCAATATAATTCTAGTTGTTATTTCTTTACCTAGAAGCTCTGCTTGTGCTTAATTTCCTTAGACCCAACTAACAATTTTTCGTTCTATACATAAAATGATATATTTGAAAATTAATTGCATTAAAAGAATATTCAGGTAATAATGTTATCATGTTAACAATGACAGAACCTTAAAATGTAAAGATATGTAAATAATGTTCTATTAAAGTAACAGTCAGACAGTTCTCTTCCAACTTTCAGAAGACCTTAACGTAACATTGGTCCTGTTAGCTCAGGAATTGCCCTTAAACATACTTAAACAGATTCAGAACATGGAAAAAAGATGACAAATAGAATGGACTGTAAACTGAAGCCTAATTGAAATAAATATATATTTTTTTGTCATAGGGAGGTTTGTTGCTTGAGTTTTTATCTGATATTGCTGATAGAGTTGCCACCCATCCCATAGTGAAGAATGAAGTGCTGTGTACCATTCTGAATCAATACCAGACACAATTTGTCCCATATTTATTCCGATTTAAAGCTGAAATCCTAATTTCTGATGTCTATGTTTGTAAACACTAGCATTCTATATGTTCTACTGGATGGCAGTGCTTCGAGTTGTGAAATTGGTTACAGTACACGGCACCAATCTGCTGCGTGTTGGACTTTAAATTCCCAATGTACCGCCACACCCCCAATGTCTCTTTACCTCTTTTTGAAAGAAGATATTGTGGCTGCTGAGCTGTCGCTTTATTCCCTGACACCAACGTTTGCTCTGAGAGAGCACTTATAAAAGACTACCATATGATTGGTTGGAATTGCATTCATTTCTGTGATGTGATAGGCTGATGTGTGCTATCAGACAATGTTCATTACCAACAGTTTAACAAAATTTCTCATTTTCTAATCATTTAAATTTTATGCCATAATAAGTCGATATATAGTCCAGCCCCTAAGCTGGGGTGGAGAATTGTATTCATTTTTAAACTACAGTAATTAATTGGTTAATTGCAGGAAAAGCTGCTTCATTTATAGATTAAATAGCCTCTGAGAAGCTGTGCAGGACTACAAAATATCACCCAACTATGATATGATATCACTTATTAAAGAAAATTATGCTTTGAGAGAATGCCGTTATGCGACTTCAAGGTTCTACGCGATTTGAATCTGGTTGTGTATAAATGATGCTTTTGGCAGCTGGTCCGTACAGAGCTCCAGTTTGATATAAGCAGAGAGTTCTGGTACTTTAGGGGGCCTCACTACACAGCTCTGATAGGCAGGCCATACTGCATACTTCACTTCCCGGAGATCATGGATCTGAGACTTTACACGGTTCTGTGTATAAGGCTTTTGAGGTGTGTATGGAGTTTGTTTGTTTGTTTGTTTGTTTGTTTTGGGTGGGGGTGGGGGGGTCAGGAGGCTGTGCTGAAGCCCATGTTGATGGAGCTTCTCCAGGCTTCTTGTGTTCTCTCCACTTTGCTCTTCTCAGTCTGGAGGCACCGTTGCTCATCTTCCTGTCTCTGCACCAGGTGGTCTCAGAGGATGAGTATCAACGTCGGGTCGATGCGCTAAACAGCGAGGACCTGCGCGCTCTCTGCAAGCGTCTACAGGTGCCCCACCCAGCCCTAGTTCCTATAAACCCCCAAAACTAGCTCCCCCCTCCCCCCGTCCCTTAGCACTATGTCCCAGCACGTTGACTGATCATCAGGAGAGACGCAGTGAAACTACAGTTTCCTCAGAAAATTCCATAGCGTGAACGGCTGTGATTGGCACCCGCCCCCCCCCAAACACCCCCTTTTCCTGTGGAATTTTCTACAACCCTTTTGCTGTTCCTCTTCTCCAGTTCTGTCCATCCACTGCTCCCCCAGTGGTGGTGACAGTTATGGGTTGGGGGGCTGGGGGGAGGTGGGTTGGCATTGTTTCGCTGTGTAGCAGGCCTGTTTGCTGAAGAACGGGCATACAACAGTCCTCCAGCGATTCGTTAAATTAAGATCAGAAAGAAACACTTATGAGGGAGTGAGATGCAGCCCCATTCTGCCGCCTTGACCGGCCATCTTCAGCCAACACGAGTCCCCTGTGAAGCAGTTGGTTCGGCATGTGGTGCTTGGTCCTGATACTCATCAGCATGGAAGGCGCTCGAGCTGCTCTTCTCACGTTTCTCATGTCCATCCCGGGTTCTGTCCGTGTTTGATGTGCTGTCTCTCACTGCCTGCCCTCCATCCCATCGCTGTCTTTCTGGGGGGGGGCGGTTTGGGGAGTAAGCTTGCTGTGATGTACCCTAACAGCAGATCACCGTGTCTGTTTGTTCCCTGTTCTTCCTCATTCACCGGTTTGCCTTGTGTAGCAAATGTATTATTCATTTATTTGAATATTAACCATGTCAGGCTAAGCTGTTAAGGTTGACGTCCCTCCAGTCTAATGTAGAATACAGTGTATTTAAATTCCTGAATGTTTAATTTAGGAGACCACTGTTTGTCAACCCAGTGCTCAAGGAACCCCAGACACTCCACATTTTTGCTCCCAACACACCTGTACCAGTTATTCAGTGTTCTTGATTGCTTCACTGTTTGGTTCAGGTGAGCTGGGAGCTGGGAGGGAGCAAAAATGTGGACTAACATTGGTTTAGACCCAGTAAAAGGCTGAGACCATAAAACAACATTGGACAGAGGATCTGGACAGTTATAGCAGCAGTGATGTTGCGCTCAAATCCTCCTAATCTCCATCTGTCACTCATCCGCTTGCTCTGGAGCTGTAGGATCCAGGTGGCCACATTTAATTAAACAGAGACACTTGCCAAAGTGGTCAGAGTCGGGGGTTCTCCACATTTGTGGTGATCCTGAGGTGTCTCTGTTAAGGTTTGTTATGGTGACAAGTCCTAACTGTGCTGTAGGAGATCATTCCGCCAATAATCATGGACAGATCAGGTGTGGATCCTCTGAGAGGGTAGAGGAAAGGTGTGTAATTCTGTAAATTCTTTAAACGACGTGGACGCTGGCCCGCAATGCATCGGTCCCTCTGTTTGCTCGACTGCTCTTCATCCAGCCTCCTCTAATGGCATCACTGCCTCATCAGATAACCACCAAGGAGGAGCTCACCACGAAACATGGCACCTCCAACATGGCCGAGCTGGAGCTGGAGGCTCTGAAGCCCACCCTTAGCGAGCCCAGCAGCCTGCTGCAGGTGGAGCAGATTGAGAAGGTAGGATTGTTGGGAGGGGGGGGGGGGATCCACCGCCAGTGTCGGGCGTAGTTCTTAACACACTCTCGGGAAGGTGCGTTTTCTGACAAGCGTGATTTTATCAGCTTATCAGTCCTTGTTTGCCCCGGGCTCTGCTTTTAAACGCTCCGCTGGGTCTACAGCTTTTTGATCGTATCCCACATGTCAGTTTGTTCTGTCTGTTTCCCACCCGCATGAATGCGTCTGACACTGACTCATAGTGCTATTGGTTTATTGTAGCTGCCGTATTCCGTTACGCTTCTGCATTAAAGCGGGTTTCTTGGCATTTTCAAGACCACAACAAAGTATGTTGAAGCAAAGTGCAAACCCCCTTTTTTTGTTTACTTGATCGATTCCTCTATTGTGGTCCAGCACTCTGCCTGCTATAGAACTAGGAGCAAAGCCTGTTCTCTGCAAGACCACAACTGGACACAAGCTGCTTGTTCCTTAAGAGCTGGGGAACAGTCAGATATAAAGCTGAAATACTGAAGCTTATTCAGAGTAACAGATGAAATGCTTGTGATTTTCCTGTAATGGATTTGACTCCTCTTAATGTTCTTCGTAGTATTGTTTAAAACTAAGAAATCTGTTATGGTATCAGGCCTTGGATCTTGACATTATATGTAATATAGCCTGCCTAAGGCTGTTGAGGTCCATGGGGGAGGAAAACACGCCTCCATATCTTTTGGTCCCCACTTGATCATCATCAACATCGCTCCCACCCTCCAATCTCCTCTAACAGCTTGCAAAGACCCTGCCACCCAGAACATTTGGGTACCCCTGGTCACTGGCATTCAGCACGTCTAAGCACGGTATGAGCATCAAGACACTGTACAGGACCATGCAGGCTCAGGATTCGCCCGTGCTCATGATCATCAAGGACAGCGATGGCCAGGTGAGAACAGATGCTGTCATTCCTGTGAACTTGACGTTACACTTGTTTGTCGACCTGAACAGCTATGAGGACAAAACTGTTATTGATGCTATTGTGCATGTACAGCTGTTTGGCGCACTGGCATCAGAACCATTTAAAGTCAGCGAAGGATTCTATGGTACTGGAGAAACATTCCTCTTTACCTTCTGTCCAGAACTAGAGGTACGTATTAGTCTTCAGTATAAAAAAAACTGTTTCTTTGACATGTGAAATGAAGAAATTTGTATTTTGGGAAGGAGGGAGATGTTGATAGACGAGCGACTGGTAGCTTAGATGATGACAGTGATGATGACGGTGACCCTCTTTTCAGGTGTTCAAATGGACGGGAGACAATATGTTTTTCATCAAGGGAGACATGGATTCCTTGGCATTTGGTGGCGGCGGGTGAGTTTGTCGTTGAGTAAGAGCGCACTGCAGGTCAGTGAGCATACTGAGGTGCCAAGGAGCACGGTTTGCAGAAGGAGGTGAGAGATTAGAGGCGGAAGAAGGTGTGTAGGACGTTCACCCAAGGCTCTGCTCCAGCCTGGAAGGTGCTTTGGCCATAATCCTCAAGCAGGTGTTCATGGTTCTTTCCAGTGCCACATCCAACCTCACTCCTCCCCCATCGCTCTGACTCTGTCTCCATCACGCCAGCCATAAGAGCACCGACTGAACGCTGCTCCTGTTATTACCAGGTTTTGGTGGACAGCACTGTCTACATAGAATCTGGTCTACATTCAAACAGCTGGGTGCTTTCACTGAAAAAACACTGAGTAGCTGCATTTTCGTGTGGACTATACCCTGTTAGACTGGGCTCTTTGTCTGGACGTGTCAGTCTGTCCAAAGTGTGATTTCTTACGAGCAGGTGTAACCGTACTGGATTCACATGGTTGTGGCTGTGTGTGGTTGTGATTCTCACGAGGACTCGTTCATTCCTGATACGAAAGCCCTCTGCATTATTTCTGTATGAATACATTTTGTTTTTCCTTCTCAAAGGGGAGAATTTGGCCTCTGGCTGGATGGAGATCTGTATCATGGCCGGAGTCATTCCTGCAAAACCTTTGGCAACCCCTTACTGTCGAAAAAGGAGGACTTCTTTGTGCAAGACATCGAGATCTGGTCATTTGAATAGCAGCCCGGGAGAATCTACGGACCAAACTCACCCCTCACTCCCCAGGGCTGCAGTGCCCATCCCTGCGGCGTCTGGGACGCCCCGGGTGGCACAGTGGACGCTGCTTATGTGTATTTGCACTGTATCCACATGGCGTTTCTGTTCATGCAGTGGCTGTCTGTGAGTTTCATTAAAGCTGTGTGTGGCTTGAGTGTGACGCCATGGGGCGGTACGTCAGCCGAACCGAGACGTCGGACGGAGAGTCCGCGAGGGAGACGAGCCTCAGCCCCCCTATGGACACCCCAACGTCTTCTGGAACCCTGTACACTTCATCCCTGATAGGATAATGACCCCTAGAAGACGGTTAATATCTACTAACTGCAAGGGAGATGAGCCCTGACCGAGGCTGGCTTTCCGGCCTCGTCGGGGAATAATTCCTCATGAAGCAAAGTGAGAGACCATGCATTTCATTCCTGTCCTTCACCACCGTACCACCATCCTGAGTATGCACTGCACATGTACTATAGGTATACCCGCAATGGCCATAATCGTGACGTTTCGTTCATTGGGTGTATGTGTGTGCTGAGCCAACTGGCAGCCTCTGCGAGGTCCGGCGCCATGTGCATTTACTCCAGGCAGTACCGCGTCTCAATATACGTCCGTGGATCAATATGCAAATTACTGTCATGTAACCCCCACTTCCTGCTGATGGGTGTTTTGTCAGCCTGTCGTTCCTTCAGAGAAAATAATTTTCTCTCAAGTATAAGCCTAAGTTGTGGGTTATTGTTTTACATAAACATATAGCGAGTATATATTTATATATGAGCGTAATAGACCTGTTGTTTTTTGCTGTTTAGTGTGACTGCAGTCGTGTGCTGATACTCCAGCTATTGTTAATAAATGACATATACTACTGGGTACATTGCAAAATTTTGATTTCTTCCCATAGTCGTGTAATGTACGAAGTGTGAATTACTCAGTTGTGACTGATGGCTCTCTCACTTGCTGCGCTCTCCGTAAGTCCCCTGGCATTACTCTGTCCTCGCTGACCCACATGTGGCTTTTCCAGTCAGCCATGTTTTTCAGTGACTCAGGTTAATAATAGTTTTTTTTTTTCCTTCCCATAATGATGTTCTGAGATGGCCAGCCTGCATGTTGCACGTGAAAGATGCTGACTGCCACCCACGTTCACGGTCTCTATTTTATCGCTACCGTGAACGGAACGCAGACTAGCTCAGGACCGTTCTATCATACCAGTATTTCAGCACCTTACTAAACATATTTGGTCTTCCATAGCAATAGTATCATCCCTGTTGAGTCGGGGAAAAAAGAAATTAAATGTGCATTTCCATCTGCCAGACTACAATGCAATATTGATGTTCAAATAACAATAAATGTAATTTGTCATCTGGCGTTTGTTATCAATTTGTCATCCTGTGAGATGTCTGACCTCTGCTCTGCTGCTTTACGTAACTGAAGATGCCCGGGTTAATGGTGTGGTTATATTAAATGTCACCAATGACTGGGTCTGCAATTACCTTAACATCCTAGTTATGAGTGATTTTCTGGAGGGAACGAATCGAAAGGAAGATCTTGACATTCATCACTAACAGGTTCTTCCTGAATCAAAAACCATTGCTTGATATTTAAATAATGCTCTTTGCTCAAAGGACTTATGCCTGTGGTGTTATGCATTTATGCTTTTGTTACTCTATCACTTTTGCTTTTGAATGTATTGTTTGGCTGGCTGTCTGATCGGCTGTGACTGTTTCCCTGCTTTGAAGCTCTCGACCTGCCAGCCGTCTACACTGCACAGACTCACCATCCCTTTAATAGCTGATATTTTTATTTAAAAAAAAAAAAGAAAACTTTTCTGGAAAGAGCTAGTATCACCCACAGTGTATGAATATATTTTTTAAAACTTTAGACAATATAAAGTAATAACAAATAACACAACATTATTATCACTATAAAGCACTACTAAGTGCTTTCTAAACCTTAAAAACTAATACGTGGTATTAAAGTTTATGGCCACTAGGAAAAGGCCCTAACCTGCACAGTAGCCTTGAGTGGTTTCAGCCACAATTCTAAGACACAGCTTTCCAAGTATAAAGCTCGCACACGTAGACTGCTGATCAGGCATCAACGCTGCTCACCGTGAGCTGCCTCAACTGCAGATGGAAAGAAAACCAGGTTGTCTTCATTATAAAACTAAACCGACTTTTTACCCAGTCGTCAGTAAACAACAGTTACAAGTCTTTATATTACAAGCAATTCACAATCCACCTGAGCTACAGTGTGGTTATTATTCAAATAACACCATTGATTTTAAGGGCATGTTCATTTGTAGCCCCTCCCACAACGTATTCACGCCGCCACCTTGTGTCGAAGTACTAAAATGACAGCAGTCATGCAATACTTTCTTTTTAAAGAGAGATAAATGTAGGTCTTACTGCACTCTCATCAAAATTCACATTTGGTTGATATTTTATCTCAGTCTTACTTTGCTGATTTATTAAATACAATTTCTACTGTGTTATTTAAAATTACTTGCTACAGATGTAAAAACATTGTTGTAATTAAATGAATGTCAACCAGCTGATTCGAGGTTTCAAATCAAAGGAAGCATTTTATTTGAAATGTAAGAGAGGAATGTTAAAACGTCATAAGCACGTGCTGGCACTTTCAGACGTACCCATAAACCAAACCGCGCCCCCTTACCTTGCTTACATCTCCCCAAGAGGCAAAGCAGCACCATAAGGAACAGAAGAGCCACCAGTCCGCACACGGCCACCGAACCTGCCCGCCTGGAGATCAGCCCAGCCGAGGGTGGCTCTGAAGGGGATGGAGCAATCATTAGGTCATCATTTCTGTGCTGGGGCCAGGGACCTGTGAAGCTGCATAGCAACCTGGGCCATGCTGATCAGGCACATGCTCAGGATATTCGGTATGTACAAGGGCATCACTGTTTTTTCAGTACTGGGGGGACTTAGACAGATCAGTCCTCTCACATTATCCTGTATGACCTTGTATGTATACCTGTGTATAGGCTACCTGTCCATTTGAATTTTGACTGTATACATTTGTTGATGCAAATGGGACTGAAAGTGTCAACTAAACATTTTTTTCCCCTTGGTCAGTAGGTTAGATAAGATCTGAATTCTTCCAACAAATAATTTTAAAAGGAGAAACCTGGAAAATATTAAGTGGGACAAACACCACTGTTTTGAATACTGGGTGGGATGTGACCCCCCCCCCTCTATCCTTAGTAAACAAAGACAGAGCTGCTTTCCCTCACCCCAGTGGACATACAGAGGTTCCACTAGACTGCTGTGATCCACACGGCAGGAGTATCTGTCCCGGCCTGTAGGGGGCATCTCCAGTCGTACCCGCACCTGGTAGGTGAGGTCTGGGTTGGGCAGGAGGCCAGTGGAGGTCACGTTGGCCGAGGCTGGCTTCCCGTCCCGCTCCCAGCGCACCGACACCTCTCGGGGGTAAAAGCCGGTCACAACACAGAGAAGGACTGCGACTGTGCCGCTTTTAGCCTGGACCGTGACACTGGGCCTTTCTGTTGCATTTAAAATATAGATTACTTAGAGCAGACACATGCAGACTTAAAACCATTTTAAAAACATTTCTGGATTGTGAGATATTTTAAACTGTATTTCCTTGGAAATCTTACAGAATCATTGGAAAATCTGAGATTTTCTAACCATGACAAAAATGGCATAGAGGTTTTGGTCCGATAACTGTGAATCGGATATGTGATAATGCAGACACTGGCACTGACCAGTAATGAAGATGCTGATTATGCTGTCAGGTGCCTGCACACGTTTCTAATGCTGCTTGTATACCCTGCAGCCACTTCAATTTGTTTTGTTACAAATCTAATTCCTTATTTCACAAACAGAACCTGCTTACCTTTTCTGTGAATTATCTCTTTCCCGTACTCATAGAATTTCTTTAACCTGGGAACACAGTCCTGTTTCAGGTACTTTAAATTATTTAGATTCCAAGTTTGGAAACTATCTAGTATTTTCTTGAGGTTGGCCGTGTAAGTGTCCCAGGTCTTCCATCGCATGCCCTCCTCGTCCAGGGTGAACGTGTACCTCCCGTCCACTGAAAAGCGGTAAATGTTTGCCTGCTTTCCCTCGTCTGTTACCCTGCAGCCATACATAAGCTGCAATATTGGACCTGGAAGTAAAAAATGAACAGCTCTTAATTAAATGTACAGAAAGTTACATCACAATACATGTCCTTGTCCTTGTCAGACGTCTGTGCTTTTTGAATATGTAATATAGGGATGGGGAACCTGATCCATGGAGAGCTGGTGTGGGTACAGATTTCTGGGAAGGCCTCTCAGTCAGCCAATAACAGTGAGTCCCCAGGCCTGAAGTTAAGAACGACTGTTCTATTACTGGCTGATTGAGAGGTCACCCCGAAAACCTAAAACATCTCACCATTTAGTCCTGATGTTGAGTTTGCATCATTTAAAAACCGTCGGAAGTACTCGGTTTTGAAAGCTGTGCAGGCATGCAGGTCCGTCCACACCGATGACAGGGAGGTATGATGTTTCATGGGGCTGGAAAACATCCTGGAGCTGCTGTCATAGTGGAAAACCTTGAGGTCGTTGAGCATCCCATGGGACATGTACTCTGGGATGTAGGCATGGCCAGGAGCGAAGGTCACGAAGATGGTCAGACTGTGGTCTCCTGAGGGCAACATGAAGGTCGATTAAACCGAGCACTAACTAACCGGGTAACTGGGATGACATGTACAACTGTGCGGGGGGGGGGTCACCTTACCTGAAAAGTCATCTGCTTCAGTCACAGCCAGAAACCAACTGAGGAGGATGTAACCCTATTCGTTTAACCAGAAAAATATTAAATTGACACATATATGATTTTTGTTCTGTATCAGGGGCATGGTTACAGGTGGGCATGGAGCGGGCAGTGCCCACCCAAACAGATCGTTGGTCCACCGAACATAGACGAGCCAAATTTAACCAACCATTAGTGATTTAAAGGAATCGTCACATGACCCCCCCCCCCCCATCCGTGGACATCTTACACGTCATGGTCACACTGCCCGCCCCCAAAACCTCTGACACAATTCGAACAATAGTGACCACCCCAGGATGGCATCCTGGTAACGGCAGCGATTCCACATTATTAAATATTTTTTCATATTCATATTCTATGTACAGTTAGAGGCAAGGTTTTAGGAGGCAGTTTCATATTCAGGGGACACAACATAATTATTTAAACACAAGGTTCTGTTGGGGTATGAATGAATCCAAATTAAATACTGGGAGGTACACGCAAGGTCATAAATTTAGGTTGATCATGCTGGGTCCAGGGGGTTGTACTGGCCGGTTTTGATTATTCGGAAGGGTTACAACCCCACATCCCCGGCAAAATTTACGCCCATGGTTACACGTCCCCCACCCCGGTTCCTACGCCCCTCATTCGAAGGTCCAGCCGGGGGTCCCCAGAGAAATGCGCCCCTATACGTGGCGCCCGTATGAATACCCCGATACTCACCATGAGACGCTTCATCTGGCAGCTCGGAGAAAAACAGGCAAGTATCCTCACATATTAAAGTTGCCTCCGTGTTTCCCCTGCGCACATAGCCGCCGTTCCGGGTGGTTTTACGCGCAATGGCGACTCCGGAAACTTTCGTATAGTTTCGTAATTTTGGAATTCATGAAATATTGACCATTTCCTGCTGAACCAACTGCTTGCGACCTGCTGTCGCCAAAGCTTTATACCTTAGGGGATTAAAATACGGAAAACAAATACCTAATATGTCACAAGAATGAATAAAACAAAATATAGGATTCCCTGGCGTATGAACCTACGCGTCCCTGGAAATCGATAGGTAAGTCTGTGACGCAAGTATTACTATTAATTTCGACAGATCCAACCTTAGGATATTACCCATCTTTGGTGATAGTAAATAATTTCGACACTCGAATCTTATTCCTACAAGCATATTGGATAGTCGGTGGAGATTTAATTCATTAAACTGTTGCGTTTAAGAGTTGGTCATTTCCTAATGCCTCGCAGTTTTTTCAATTTAAACCAAAACCTCATCGCAATCACTAGGGATATACGTACGCTTAACAGCGCTGCTTTAGTTTAATAACGGTGTGATCCTTACAAGTTTGTGATAGGGTACTGTAATGAGATTAAGATCAGATCCGACTTGAAAGCTAGCGTTTTAAATTCAATCAGGGTAAGTTTTACTTGAGTGCACACACAGTCTAAACATGAGTTGCGGTTTCGACGGTGTTTAAAATGGGTTAATACAGGGTTACCAACTTTGGTCATCTGGCTGGCGTGGGATTTTCAATTCGAGTCTGCACTCACATACACAATGTATGTGAGAGTTTTATTACCGTGTAAATAGTCTACAGGGTTTGCAAACTACCCCAGCGCTTTTGACGTAGGTAATTTTAGGTTTATAATGTAATAATAGATATTTGCTGAACCATAAAGGGGGGCACAGTGATTTAGGATCTTACACAGCTGGGATGGAGTGGTGGCTCTGAGGCTATGGATCTGTGCCTGCAACTGGAAGGTTGCTGGTTCAAATCCTGTGAATGTCCAGAGTGATCTTCCTCTGTTGTGCCCTTGAGCAAGGCCCTTAACCTACAATTGCTTTGTCCTGAGTATGACGTTAATCTACATCCAGCCCTATAAGGAGGTCCTCCAACTTACAGGGAAAAACTTTCGGGTTGGTGGCAGGATTGGCACTCCAGCCACTGGAAAAACCTCACACTGGTCCATTTGGACTGGTGTGGTGCTGAGGTATCACCCACTGCATGGCTGCACTCAGGTTCTCATCCCTGAGGAGGTTTGTCATGTGGTGGGTGCAGCAACGCAGTGTAATCAGTGCATGCTCCTTACACACTGTAATCAGCGCACGCTCCTTACGCACTGTAATCAATGCACGGTCCTTACACACTGTAATCAGTGCATGGTCCTTACACACTGTAATCAATGCATGGTCCTTACACACTGTAATCAGTGCATGGTCCTTACACACTGTAATCAGTGCATGCTCCTAACCTCTTTACACTTCCATAAAAGCAGAATTTGGGAAAAGCCTCCATATGAAGTTTGAGGTGCCGTGGAAAGTACACTAAAACTGTAATTTATACGATACGTAATATGAATCCTTACATTTTTTAATGATTTTATTGAAATCTGCATCTAAAAAGGACAATTGTAGGGCAGCAGTGCTATTAGTTAGTAGCTTATGGCATCTAGTACATTTGTGTCCTTCTGGCTGTGTGTATCTGCGTTTGTGTGGGTGTCGGAAAGAAGGCTTGTTGATGTTTTATGCAGAAGATTTTTAAAAGCGGGACAAGACAAACCTTGTTCTTTATATTTATGTTGCACCGTTTTAATTACTACAAAATATCAAATAAGGAACATATAAATTGCAAAAGGAAAAGTAAATTAAAATATATTTACATCTTACAGTCCATTTTATCAGAGCATTTGTTTTAGACAGAGTAGGCAAAATAAAATGATAGCTGATACATTAAACCCTCGTCCCTAACGGGTTTACCCTGCCACAGGTGCGTACTGTATAAAATTATAATGTGAAGTTATTTTTTGCTTTTATTAGGAATTGATTAGAGCTTCACTTGTATATCTTGTAATAATTTTAAGCAATGGCATAGGAGAGAGCTTGAGACTGGGGGGTTGGGGGGGACACAACTTAATTTAAATACAAAGGTCTGGTTATTGGGGGGATGAATGAAGCCAAATTAAATACTGGGGGGGGGGAAGTACTCCCCCTAATGTCCGGAGTGCATTTGTTTTTGTAGAGGGGAGTCTCTGCAGCTACACGGTGGAGTCGTCTTGGTTCGGCTCCCTTTTCCTCTTATTGCCCTTGCAGCCCTTGCAGCCCTTGCAGACACAGCACAAGATGCATGGTGACAGCAGTAGGAGCAGGGGGGAAGACACCAGGACGAGGAGGCTGACGCCGACCAGGATGCCGACCACCTGGCAGAGGTGAAGACATGCTGCATTGTGGACTGAGCCATAGAAGATGAAGCAGACATAACTACAGGGTCACTTGTGCAACCTTAGCCCCAACCACAAACTGAGCCTCTGCCAGTAATTCTGCCTTTAACTATGGATCAAGACAAGCATGCGAGTGTGATTCTGGTCCTTCTACACGACGACATGTACATGTCTAATGAGGAGAGGTTAGCTGAGCTGAATCTTTTCAGCCTCGCAAAGGAGATTAAGGGGGGACATGATCCAGGTATGTAAGATTCTAACGGGTCTGGATGCTGTTCAGCCAAATTGCTACTGTAATATTAGTTTAAATACTAGAACTCGTGGCCACAGGTGGAAATTAGCGGGAGAACATTTTAAACTGAATTTGAGGAAGCACTTCTTTACACAGCGTGTAGTTAGAGTATGGAATACTCTTCCTGCTAGTGTAGCACAAGCTAAAACCCTGGGTTCCTTTAAATCAGAGCTAGATAAGATTTTAACAACTCTGAGCTATTAGTTAAGTTCTCCCCAATCGAGCTTGATGGGCCGAATGGCCTCCTCTCCTTTGTAAATTTTCCTTGTAAAAATTTTATCCCCAAGCTACTGAGATAACGAGGTTTACTTTCAGTTTGCTCTGAATGTGTTGTTCATTGTCTCTCAGTTGACAGGATTATAGTTTTTATTTACTATTTAAGGCACCGATTGCTACCCAAACTGGGCAAACTGGTTGGGTGACAGTGTGCACACAGACGGGTAAGAAACACCACCTGGGTCCGATTCCAGATGACCGAAGCCCGGGAGTGACCCAGCTTGTATTTGCATGGCCCCTTGTCGTAGTGTCTCAGAAATATGTCCCCCTGCCGTGAGAGCGAAGCAAACCTGACCTCAGAAACGATGATGAAATCACAGCCAGATTTACAGAAACTGCAGTCCCAGTCTGGGCCAGCAGGAGGCAGGAGCCCTTACATCCAGGTTCTGAAGGCAATACCAACAGAAGGTGTGCTTGCAGCTCTTGCAGAGCATCTGGGCGCAGCCCTGGTCACGCTCGATGTGGACACCGCACGCGGGACACTGCTTTATGGGGGTGTCTGCGTCCGAGCCGCTTGGCCACCTGCAAGGGGAAGAGCTCATGTCTGACAAGCATATCGCTGTTAATTCACTGTGCTGTACATGGGGTTCAACTGGAACCCATTGTCTTTCATTTTAAAGGCCTAAGATTTCGAGAGGTAATCTGCCAGTAAGAGACACTTAAATAGACTATTTGTATTCCCAGAAAGGGCGTGTCTCTCCCTGATATGCATCAGGATAAATGGTCTACAGTGACACACAAAAGGTGCAAATACAAAAAAGATCACATAAAAAAGCCTGATGCCTTATTGCTTGAATGTTCTTATGTTACATTTCTCGTCCTTGGATAGTCTTATCAGGTTCTGGCTTTATTAGAAGTCGTCGTGTTGCTCCAGCTCCAGTCCTGCTTACACCTGCACCTGGACATTTTGAATCAATGCATCTATATCATAGACACTCAGGCCAGATTTCCAGGTTGAACTGGTTTTTCATTATAGCTCTGATTCCCGGTCATTGGTATTCCTGTTCTACTGCTGATTAACCAGAGGAATTCAACACTTAATTCTCACATTATTCAATCTCATATTATTCAACCCAGCTAAGTTCAGAAACAACTGGAATTTTTTTTATATATTCATAGTGGTCAATCATATATGATTCAGGATCCCTACAACATAAAAAAAATACCTCTCTGTTGAGACAGTGTTTAAGATTCCAGTGTTAGAGGGGAATGGTGGCCAGGCACAGACTTAGTTAACGGTAAACTGAAAACCAGTGCACCCAGTATGCTGCCAGTACTGGGGCTGAAATGCCCTCTCACCTGTCATCTGATGCCACAAGCGGCCGGAGCTCTGAGCAGTTATGCCCGCCTTGCCAGCCCCCGCGGCACACGGAGCAGAAGACGGTGCGGCAGCCGGGGCACGTGATAGGGTCTGGGCGGCCCGCCAAGGCAGGCGTCACGCGGCACAGCACCTGGCAGTGCGGCGAGGGGCAGAATGTCTTAGCCGGATCCAGCTGCACATCTGGAAAATAGTGGCCAAGCAGGCAACATCAGCCTGTTTCCACTGCACAGGCTGTGATGTCACTTTTGCATTTGTCATTCTAATCTGAAACAGATTCTTGGTCTGATGAGGAGGAAGGATGCTTATAGCAGCTGGGACCAGGTATATAGATATGATTGACAGTATCACGTCACCTCTGGCTAACATTAGGAGTCAGGTTTTCCTCCTCCAGCTCACATGCTTATTAAATGATTGACCAATCAGGAAAGAGTGTCTACACCTGTGCCCAGTGAGGTTTATTATTTAACTTGTCCCTGGTGCTGTCCTTGTTGCTGAACCTTTGGGCCTGTATGGCTCCAGTGTAGCCTGTGGTTTTTCTTTTGAAGATCTTTTTCTGGAATATGGTTTGTTGGCGGGACTCATATCAGAAATATGCAAGTCTGGCTTTTAGCTCTGTTGCTTCCAATGCACCTAAGAATGGGTTAGTAATTTACATTTGGGTTCTCTGGTAGATTTTATAGTGAGTGACTCAGGAGCAGTCTCAGTTTAATAGTGATGGCCAGATAAAACTTAATGAACTAGATGTTTTAGAACCACTTGACAGTAGCGATCATAACATGGTTAAATTTGAGGTTAAGTTTAGTGCCCGAAGAGCAAATTCCAAATCGAAAATATATAATGTTAGGAAGGCTAACTTCAATTGTATGAGATTAAAACTAGAAAC